AGTATAGTATTCTGATAGAGATGCTTCAGTTCGCATCTGCTATCTCTGACACTTATATTAGTTGTTGTACATTTGATTCTCTGTATCTACATCTCGGGAATATTCATTTACACCTGGAACACTTCCCGAGGTCTGAAATTACTTTGCATTTTTATTACCGACCAGTACAAAGCCGCGATAAGGAACACGTGAGTGAGTGAGAGTGTGGTTTTGCCCTTTTTTGCAATATTCCAGCAATATCAATATTTTTGGCTTTTGCATTTGAGACATTTGTTCAATGTTCAATTACTCGCAAAGTCAAATCGCAAACAGTGGGAATGGTTCCCATGCTAATGATACCGTAAACTGAGTCTGAGTTTTGGTTTTACGCCGCTTTTAGCAATATTCCAGCAACATCACGGCGGGGGACACCAGAAATGGGCTTCACACATTGTACCCATGTGGGGATTCGAACACGGGTCTTCGGCATGACGAGCCAACGCTTTAACCATTAGGCTACCCCACCGCCCCGATACCGTAAACAAAACATTGGAGATGGTTTGTAACTCAAATATCTGATTGGTCCGCCCGACTGAATAGCGGACCAATGGACCAATGAAAATCAAGTACGTTGAATTTGAGATGGCGAAAACCACTAGAATGGACCTGGGGGTTAGTGAAGATTCACCGAGAGCCCAAAACATACAGAGGATGATATGATGTGCTATGTAAATGATACAATTCGAACACATTTCTTTTCAGCGTTATTTTTCCTCCATGGTGGAAGTTAGAAGCCCAAAACCCAGACATGAACATCGTCTTACATATAGTAAAGTTTGGAAAGTACAGGCGGTCTTTGTGCGCTTCCAGTTCTTTAACCGTATATGATGGTAAGTTAACTTTGCGAATCGGCACAGAACAATTGTTTCATCGTTATCATCACACAATAGATATCATGTGTGTGTGTGTGTGTGTGTGTGTGTGTGTGTGTGTGTGTGTGTGTGTGTGTGTGTCAGAGAGAGAGAGAGAGAGAGAGAGTGAGCGTATTTTTCTGATTTTGGTTTCTTTGTGTGTGCGTGTGTACACTGGTGTGCATGTTAGTATATATACTTTGTTAGGTATTGTCCTGAAAAAAGGTAACGAGAGTTAGAGTATTTGTAATATTTTTGTTTATTTCACACGACTCGACATACAGATTGCCAAGAGTTACATATTTCATGCAAATAAAATTTCACCACATGTGAAAGCACATATTTTGTTTTCCAGGTCCAGACACAATAAGCCCACGACTGGCTGTTTTCTGTAAGTCCCTTACAGATCGACATCTAGTCAGTTCGGGGGACACCATGTTTATTGCTGCATACTATGATTATGTTGGACCCGAAACATCATATTCCTTTGCTTTCTCATCAGAAAAAGGTAACACTGCATAGCAAACAGATGTTAAAAGGAACTTGTGTATATAAATATAGAGAGAGTGAGTGAGTGTGTGTGCGTGTGTGTGATAAAATTGTATATTGACTAATATTTAATTTTGTCAGTAAAATGTCAGGCAAAGAAAAAACACTTAAAATTGGATGTTGCCATAATATATACTCTCCCAAAAAAGAAACGCATCGTGAAAATAGCAATTTCATGTAACAATGAATTAAAACGTGATTCATTTTACAAAAGGTTTTGCTCTGTTTATGAGTCAAATGGTGTTTATGTTTTGAAACATCGCAACAAAACGCACCATCCGTAAAATACCCGTATTTAACAGCATGATTTTCAATTTCGGCGTGTTCAGAATACACAATTCACATGTGATGCACGTGAAAGTTGGGGATCAGATAGTCTCAATGATGGGTATAAAAGGTTGATCGCTGTCTGTCGATTATTCACTGTATTTGGAATATTGTTGACGAACGCAAAATGCCACGTCTAAGTGAAGCCAACCGTCATATCGCCATTGGTTTGCTTAAAGCTGGCCAGTCTCAACGTGCAGTTGCCCGACGCATGAATGTTCACAAAAGCACCATTTCACGGCTCTAGGAGCGATATCGCCGGCAGAATGCGGTCGCAGATGCCCCTCGTAGTGGGCGACCTCGAGCGACCACTGCGGCGCAGGATCGCTACATCCAGGTACATCACCTGCGTCATCGAACAGCTACGGCGACCAGTACCGCTCGACAAATACCCGGATTGAGGAGGCTTTCTGCACAGACCGTCAGGAACAGGTTGAGAGAGGCTGGTTTACGTGCCAGAAGACCTTATTTCACCTGCCGTAGGAGAAGTGATTTGGTGATGATCCAGGGCAACCTGACAGCTCAACGGTGTGACGAAATCCTACGCCCACACCTTCTTCCAATCATTGATCGCCAGAGGGACAATGCCAGGCCCCCACACAGCACGTCACACTAGAGACTTCCTCCAGAACGACAACATCAATGTGCTCCCCTGGCCCTCAAGATCACCGGACTAAAACCCGATCGAACATCTGCGGGATGCCCCGGACAGACGGGTGCTACGCCGTAACCCTCACCCCAGACACTTCAGCAACTCGCACAAGCACTACAGGCAGAATGGGCTGCGATTGGGCAACACAAGATTCTGAGACGTATTCGTTCGATGCCGAGGCGATGCCGTGCAGTTCTGGATGCCCACGGTGGTCACACGAGGTATTGACTTCAGCGTCACCACACGTCTCCATGTGACACTCAAACTGACTTTTCTCGAGTTGATGCCAAAGACGGATAAGTCTGCAAACCCAGTGTGCAATTTCGCTATATTTCATTGACTCATATCGCCTACAAGAAGTTTAAAATATACATAAAAATACGGTTGAAATTCCTATGTGCGTTTCTTTTTTGGGAGAGTATATATTACAGAGGTTTAAAATACAATCATGATAGACGTTCTTAATACATCGAACAAACAATTCATATTTGTTCCATCAATGCTTTCCTTGACCTACAGTTTAGTTCTGTTGTTTTAGGTTAAGTCACGATATCTTCAGTAAAGTAAACGTACACCGTTAATTGCCACTGTGTCTGAAGTCATCTCAGCATAGTACATTTTTGTATGCATATGGATGTGTGTATGTCGTCAGAGGTTCCACAATTGGCAGTGTTGAATTATGTCCCTTTTGCTTGCCAGGATCCGCTGACCTAGGGGTTTGCCTATATTATGATCCTTTACGGTAACTCTTGTAACTTCAGTGATCTACCACATTATGCCGACATGTCAAGATGTCAATACAGCAGCCATGAACACTTTCACTCACTCACATGTATCTAATGCATTCAGTTAACAAATCCTGCGGAGGTGTTCTTGATGCCAATTCAACAGTCAAACATCTGACTTCACCCGGGTATCCCCGAAACTATTTCAAGTGAGTACAGAAGGGGCGCTTATAACCACAGCCCACAACCCGGGACAAAACAATCGAAAAACTCAAATGAACACTAATCAGATTAACTATAATTTGAAAAGTTTTCTTTCCTTATTAGATATGATAGTTTAAAACAGTCCCTCGTCTTTGTATGTGGCATTAAAGAGAATGAGAACATTATAGAACATTATGAGAAAATATATAATTTTGCAGAATCATTTTTAAGAGAGACTGATAGCAAATTTTACAGATGTTTACAACAGACTGTTGATTTTAATACAGACGGCATCGGTCTGGATTCTTCAAATCATATATTTGTTCCAGCAATCAGACATGTGAGTGGACCATACAATCCCAGAACGAGTCCGAGCCTTTGTCAATATTGATATCATATTTGACGCTACAGGGTTCTTCGACATGTTCAAGCGATTTTTTGAAAATATATTTCCTCAACGATGCACATAGTAAGTATGATTAATCATTAAAACATGGCCATCTCTTCAAAATATTTAACTATTTGTTTTGGTTTCAATGATCGAGGGACGGTGAGGTAGCCAAGTGGTTAAAGCGTTCGCTCGTCGCGCGGGTTGGATTCTCCACATGGGTACAATGTGTAAATCCCATTTCTGGTGTCCTTCGCCATGATATTGTTGGAATATTGCTAAAAGCGGCGTAAAACCATACTCACTCCCTCAATGCTCGTTAATATAACGTGTAGGGTTATGGTTAGAGTGATAGTATGTATAGCAGTTGTCTGATAACGATGATGGAATCTGCACCAACACGTCTCATTTTGTGATATCTACCATAATCTGCTTAATCGAATCTTGTGTATTTTCAATTTTAAACACCCCAATCACGAATAGAAGAGCGCAGCTCGCGTTTAAATTATTACCGACCACTGCTGAGCCTCGGCAGTTATAATTACAATTGCATTAATAAATCTTGTTTTACAGGTTGGGATCAGACACAATTTAAGTCATACGTGACAAGAGTTTTAGTTCTGTTATTTTGTTTTTCAGATGAGCTATTGCTTACTACAATATGCTCGACAACAGGCCCATTTTTTTGTAGTTCAGAGTCCCAGAGATACGATAAGCCTGCGTTTCGAAACTGACAGTGAACTGGTGGACAAGGGGTTTAACATATCGTACAGAACCATGCCAAGTACGTATAAGAATATATGGCGTTATTGTCTGGAACGTTTGCTGTCATCTTGATAAGAGACGCGTTTGCTTTTTCTGGTTAAACGCTACCATCAATGGTCCAAATATATGACGGGGGCTTGTAAAATAACCAAGTCGGTGATACACATGTCACTGAGCATTGAGTCACGCAGTTGGGATACGATGATATGTAATCAAACAAGTCACATAACCATTTCACTCGATCCACTTAGTTCATTCTTTCGACATGGATTGCTGGGGCGAACATAATCCACCGGGATCGGGGAACTAAAAATAATACATAGTGAATGTGTGAGTTTTGGGCCTTCCCAACATTCCAGCTGTATCATGACCATTGTTTGTAAAAATCGTAAAATCGTTAAAAAAAAGTTTACTATACGCACTGTTATGGTTAATGGTAACGTGCTGATGCTATGAATTTTTCATCACTACTATGAACAACAAGGTTTTATTTATTTCAGCAACATTATGCAATTCGTACTTGAAAGCCTACGATTACCCATCGTATGTGTACTCTCCTGGTTACCCAGATTCTTATGAAAGGTAAGAGAGATGGGCAAAGATAATAAATAAGTCATTGTCAGCTGGAAACGGTTCTCAGAACCATCAAGTTTGATCATAAGATCAATAACTTGGCATGTTTGTATGTATGTATCGGTCACATGGTCAACGATAATTATTGTTTTCAGTTTGAGCTGATTCAAATTCCGCAAACAGATTGCAATAAAAGAAATTAAAATTAACCCTTTTACCATTGTATTTATAGATCCTTGTACTTAAATTGTAATATATACCTCGATGGATACTGAAATCATTTCCATTTGGGTAACAATCGAACATGTTTGTTTTGATGGTCTACACTTTCATCTACTACTAACCTTTATTGTGTTTATTATTAAATCTAATAATAAGGTCCCCACAATTAAATGTGGACGGTTGTGTCCCTTGGTTGTGGCAGGATGTGATTATGAGATCAAGCCAGAACCATAAGTGATCGTACAACATTTGATCTTCTCCCAGCACATGAAACAAGATCATCATGAAAAGCTAATGCGAGGGAATAGCAGTCTTTGAATATTTCTCGATCATCCACTGGGCGAAAAGCACAAACACAATTACATTATCCTGCCTTGTAGTAATTCTAGCACTTGTTTTATGCACTCAAACTACTGAAGTGAGATATCATTAACTCCTCATAAAAAACATCGAAGTATTCTCCGTTCTACCATGACACTGAAGAAGGCTTGATTCCGATTGGTTTAAACACGATATCACATTTCCACATGATGCAACTAAATTCAATAATTGCTCATGAATCCATAAAATTAGATAGTCCAAACATCGATGCTTGAAAAACGTATCGGAATAATATCGGATACCTTTGTGACGTTCTCGACCTTAACCTTGACCCGTACTCCTCTGTTCTAGAAATACGGATAACTCTATTATGCTTCTCAAGACTCGACATCGAGATAACGCGGTTCAATTGTATATTGTTGTTTTTTCTTCAGTAACCTCACCTGTAGCTGGAGTATATCAACTACTTCAAGCAATGTGAGGATCCGAGTCTTTGTTGAACTGGAAAACGGCCTCGAGAATTGTACCTCCACCGATGTTTTGGTCTTGACTTACAGTAAGTAAACCAGAAGTGGGTTTCAGTGAGTTTGGTTTACGCCGCGTTTAGCAATATTCCAGCAATATCACGGTGGGGGACACCAGAAATGGGCTATACACATTATACCACTGTTGGGAATCGGATGCGGGCCTTCGGCATGACGGGCGAACGTTTTAACCACAAGGCTACCCCACTGCACCCTAAACCCGAAATGGAAATCAATGATAACACAAAACGTGGCGCGTGGACGCACAATACATGTGGTTATATTCACGTGGGCATTCTGTCAAATCTGTCTGTATATTTTAAGGTTCATCTCCGGATCAACAAATTGCAGTATGCACGGATGGCGATCCAGCAAACAGTACGGCGTATGAACCTGTTAGCTCTTATGTTGATATTACCTTCCATTCATCCCCTAACGAACCCGGGCCTGCTTTTCGTATCTCGTACCAACAGGTACCTGGACCAAGTGAGTTTTCCAAGTTATATCCTGCAGCCATGCGTTGTTTGGTCAAATGACCTCCTGGTGTCAGTTGCGCTTTGTTTTGAGTGAATGAGTGAGTATAGTTTAACCCCGCACTCCGCAATATTCAAGCTATTTGGGGGTGGTATGTTAATAATTGTGTCTGGACCAGACAATCCAGTGATCAACGGCACAAACATCGATCTAAGCAATTGGGATACGATGCCATGTGTCAACCAAGTCAGTGAGTCTGACCACCCGATCCCGTTAGTCTCTCCTGACGACAAGTATGGGTTACTGAAGATCAATTCTAACCGAGATCTTCATGGATGCTGTGTGATGAAGGTTCATCATAACGTGTTATACTTAGTCAATCACTCACGCCAAAGATTCGGGTTATATTTGGATTCACCACATAACTTTTTCTCGGAATCCCCAAGAGTAGTAAACGCATGCGACAATAATGTACTACCCGAGTACAACTGAAATGCTGTTCAGATAAAGCTTACTCATAAATAAGCATCTGTGTTCAACCCCCACGTTTGCTCATATGGATTCAAACCAAGTATGCGACTAAATTATGAGCATTTTTTTACGCCGCTTCGAGCAATATTCCAGCATTGTCACGGGGTACACCACAAATTGACATCAGACGTTGTGCCCATGCCTGAAATCGAAGCCGAGTTTTCGGCGTGATGAACGAATGCTTTATCTACATATTTGGGTACGCCCTATAACCACTGTATACCACGGTGTGTATTTGGTGTACTCGTGGCCGTTTAAATGAGTGAGTGAGTGAGTGAGTGAGTCAGGTTTCACGCCGCTTTGAGTAATAATCCAGCAATATCGCAGCGGAGGACACCGGAAATGGGCTTCACACATTGTACCCATCTTGGGAATCGAAGCCGGATGTTCGACGTGACGAGCGAATGCTTTAACCACTAGGCTACTCCACCGCCCCTCGGTCGTTTGACAGTATGAACAGTAAAAGGTCTTTATCATGCATCTTCCTCATGGAGATCATCAGTTGTCAATTCCAGGTGAGGTAAACTGTTGCATCACTGTATTTTCTTGCACCACAGCCACAACTACAACCACAACTACAACTACAGCCACGACTAGAGGCACAGTTAGACCGAACCACTGTGAGGATACATACCTGACTGCTACAGAAACCGATCAGTATATGACATCGCCAGGTTATCCTACCAGATACGTCTCGTACGTATATTTGTTCACGTGTTCATCTGTCTATTTTGTCTGTATGATCCTTTTGTGAAATGTGTATTTGATAGGTGGTATTTTGCATGCAATGTATGTATGTATGTATGTATGTATGTATGTATGTATGTATGTATGTATGTATGTATGTATGTATGTATGTATGTATGTATGTATGTATGTATGTATGAATGTATGTACGGTTGTGTGTGCGTGTGTGTGTTTGCGTGCGTGCGTGCGTGTGTGTGTACACGTTCATGTATAATGTTGACGTTTATTTGGTTTCTAGGTACCTGTATTGTAACTGGCACATAACAGCGCCCCGAGGGAAGATGATCCATGTGGAAGTCGTTGATTCAGAACTGGAATCCTCCACAGGATGTCGCTATGATATTGTGAAAGCCTTCGACGGTGAGCTACATACATTTATGAGCTTTTCCAGAATTGTGAAGCCTGTTAATGTTGCATCAACGTGAATATTTGATTGTTAATGGTGTCCGATGCAACCAAAAACAGCTTTCACTCTAATTCCCATTTTTCCCTTACATGCAAATGCACGGAATAAAAAGTTTTGCAAGCCTGAATACATATACCATGTTGAGGAGGCACAGTCTAACACATCGGCGGTTTTTCAGCTTCATTAGCTGTACTCAAGACCTGTTGATGGTCTATGCAAATCCCAGCGCTACCTTGGGCATAACGTGGCGGTGAGGTAACCAAGTGGTTAAAGCGTTCGCTCGTCACGCCGAAGACCCGGGTTCGATTTTCCATATGGGCACAATGTGTGAATCCCAATTCCGGTGCCCCCGCCATGATATTGCTGGAATAGTGCTAAAGGCGGCGTAAAACCAAAACACCCCCACTCACTCTTGGGTAGAACTATATTGCCGCACCAAGTAGTTTCACCAACCAGGAAAACATTTCAAACTTACGTCACTTTCGTTTCCTTCACACATTTACCTAAAGCGTACGACATGACCAAAATACTCTCTCGCTCACTTCAGTGCAATAAAACCCGAAAGTTCACTCTTGATAAGGAGTACTTTTTGGACAGCATAAATTTTCAGTCGACGTAAATGTTATTCACATTTGAGTTTCGTAATCATTGAGTGGAAATTTGTCAATATAAGAACAATAAAGATTTAAAACTCGTATGTACATAAAGGCGAAAAATGAATTTAAGGGTCGATTATATTCATTCAACTATGTGAGTTTCACATGTTTATGGGTCACCACATGTTGTTTCAGGTACCACAAATCAAAGTTCTCTTCTTGAAAACTGGTGTGATGAGAGAACCCCCACATTTCAAAGTACGGGAAATACCATGCTAATAATCTTCAAAACCGATAGAACTATAAATGAAAAAGGTTTCCGTCTGAAATATTCAGTGACAGAAAGTGAGTATTATATTCATTTTACGGTCATTTTACTTCTCAATTTTAGCTATGGACCAACTTTTGATGATTCGACAAATGGTCCAATAAATATGGACTAAAATATCCGTGGAAACAATGATTGGGTAACCGAATTGGATCTCAGTTTCATGATGAACGGAAAAGCAGTCAGTAACATGATCATTGTGTGACAAGGTCCTTGCAAACCTTTGTCTTTGGGTGTATCTGGACAGAATCTCATTAGTAGCACATCATTGTGAGACAACTGCCGAAAACAACTAAATGCGCATGCGTCCTCTGTGTCAAAGGCGACCTAAGAAGTAGTCAGATGGATGCTTGGAACAGGGTCTCCAGTTTGATGCAAGACGTCATAACTTGGTGACTTCTATCACACTCAGAAATGACCTGCGACACGCCGGTTCCGTCAGACACTGAGTAATCGTCTCCGTGAGACTGGTCTCTTTCTCATCGGGGGCAGGTATCCAGCTGACTCGTCGTCACAGACAGGCACGTTTGGATAAGTCTGAAGATCACACCAGTCGCTGGGGTGCTCTGTCTTGATCTGGCGTAGGATTAGTAAAGCTGGAGAATCGACCACAATGACCTACAGCGGGTCTCGATGACAGGTCGCTATGTGTACAGGGATGACATTGAGTAATCTCCTGGACACTTGTCAAGAGTGTGAGACTACTGCTCCCTGGATCGCATCACGTGTAGCAAATATTCGCTCAGAGGATCTGTTTGTTTTATTTTACGTGTCCGTGTGCGTGCGTACATGCGTGTGTGTGTCATTAATATATTCTCCTGATTTGTCTATGTTTAAGTTTTAGTGAGATAGTCAAGGTGTCTTTAAATAGGGGTGATCTTACTGAATATTTCTCGCAGATATTTCTTCGGCTGCTTTATGGGCGGTGGGGTAGCCTAGTGGTTAAAGCGTTGGCTCGTCACGCCGAAGACCCGGGTTCGATTCCCCACATGGGCACAATGTGTTAAGCCCATTTCTGGTGTCCCCCGCCGTGATATTGCTGGAATATTGCTAAAAGCGGCGTAAAACCAAACTCAGTCAGTCAGTCAGTCGGCTGCTTTATACAACTAACATATCCACATCCATTCTAATTACAGCACCCTACGTCTGCAGCACAAACGTCTCTGTGACGGCTTCGGGAACGATGATCTACTCACCAATGTATCCTGTTACTTACCCAAGGTAAATTCTCTTTTGACTGGTCTACATGTATTGACTAGTTCTACATGTAAAGGGGACTTGACCCAAAGGACTAAAGACCCATAAATGTTACAGTTGTGTCCACTGACGTTCAAAGATCCGTGGGGCCGTGAGGTAGCTAGGTGGTTAAAGCGTCCGCTCGTCACGCCGAAGACCCAGGTTCGATTCCCCACACGGTTACAATGTGTGAAGCTCATTCCTGGTGTCTCCCCGCCGTGACATTGCTGGAATATTGCTAAAAGCGTCATGAAGGCGTACTCACTCACTCAAAAATCGGTGGTACAAGCTTCATCCTTTAGTCTATAAGCACCACGTTGTGCCCACTGATGTCATGAGACCGATCAACTGACACCGTATAGCACTGGAGTATGTCGTAAATCGTACGACTAAATATTCGTTCTTTGCTGTTAACCAGGAAAACTAAATATTAATTATTGTAGTGGTAATCATTTTACACGTCGTAGTTGAGAGTTACCCCCCTTTTTGCCCTTAGTTTTTTGTAGTATAAGCCCCACAATGGCGGCGTGCGTGTGTTTTAAGGAAGCAACAGAAACTCATTAGAAATTAAAAACCTCATAGTATTCTCACAGAGGATTATGGAGTTCTAAGGAAGTTTGTACTAAGTATGTTGAATGTGCTGCGTTCTTGTGAATTGGCGTAAAACTAAAATTAACGAACTAACGCTTGTAGTCATGAACGTGTAACGAATCTCCGTAAATAGAACATTTGGAGACATTGAAATCATGTTTTATGTGGAAAATCACGGCCATCACAATTATCATCATGTGCGGTTAACAAATTGTCAGCAAACCTTATTGACATGTGACTAGTGCGATGGTCATGTCTCATGTTCTGTCTTATACTGTTGTTTATTGTACATGATATAGTGAGTTTAGTTTTACGCCGCTTTTAGCAAGATTCCAGCAATATCACGTCGAGGGGACACCAGAAATGGGCTTCCCACATTGTACCTATGTGGGGAATTGAACCCGGGTCTTCAGCGTGACGCGCGAACGCTTTAATCACTAGGCTATCCCACCGCCCTTATTGTACATGAACTGTACTGTAGTTATATTGAGTGTAAGATATAACAGATACGTACGTAATCAACTGTATAAAGGATGCACAATGTTGCTTCGTATGCTCAAGCAGTTTTACCGTAAGGAGGATTTGGATCCAGATATCTTATCCGGCGCAATTAGCTGTCCTGAGTTGCTTCCCTTGGGCGTCCTATAATCAGGAAGCCTGAAATAGCTGTTTGTGTTTTTTGTTGTGGAATTGCAGATTGTTTGGTTATTTCAATCACATTTTATTTTAAATTTCAGGCACAGGAATTGTTGGTGGTACTTAACAGCAGATCATTACGTCAACATCAAACTAAGTGTTCTGGCGAACAGTTTTCGATCATCCGATGACTGTTCTGTGGATACTATTTCCATTAGTGACGGTAGGAATGATATATGTGGAGTCTCACTAACATAAGCTGAGAAACAATATGTTAGTGTATGTAAGACTGTTTTCAAACTTCAAATACACGCACTAATACACGTGTATAATCATTATTGCATATCACTATTCGTCATATAATTATGAGATTTCCGATTAACAAGATACTCTCTGTGATGCTTTTTAATTTGTGTCTTATGACAGTAACTAATAGCGCCTTAATTCATTGGTTCACTTTTCAAATATTTTTTTTAAAAAATTCTGTAATGTGCCTGAAAAAGTATGCTATTGTCGTTACAACATGTATTCAGATGCCGGAGAAATTGGTTCCCTTTGTGGAACTTACGACAGAACTTTCGTAAGTTCAGGACACAATATGAGAATACGATTCTACTCTGGTAGTTACGGGACTACAGGAACAGGTTTCAAGGTGTCTGCCATTGGTGGTATTTACGAAGGTGAGTACTTCTTGAATGGTCATTTTTGAAAAAGCTAAAATTCACTTCAAATGGTCCTGTAATATTGTTTGTAGCATATAGGTTAAAACTAAAAACTTCGGTTTGCTATCATTTGGGATGTAAATATTCCCAAGAGAGAGAGAGAGAGAGAGAGCGAGTAAAGCTTGTGAATTCACCGATGAGTCAATAAATACATTACCACGTTTCATTCACTTCAGCTTAACAAACCTGTAAAAGTGTATTTAGAATTTGAAGTGTCACAGTAGAACTAAAGGGCATTTGTTAATATGCCTGATACTTGTAAAGCTTCTAGGAAGTACCCAAAGATGTATATGTTTTAAATGTGGTTTCTCTGCTAGATCAAATTCTGAATGACATGTAGGAGTATGGTATTTGCATTTATCTGATATGAAGAAACTCGCTGGTTGTATTATATTTTTCTAATTTTTTGTCAATTGCCTGTTTTGTCTGGGGACACGGGCATCTAAGTTGTACCATGTTGATGTTGCAGAAAACATATGATTCGATCCGAATCGTAAATACAACACAACACAACACAACACAAATATGACAGTGATATAGCTTGCTGGATACAATTACAAATGTCTGATATTTCCAACGTGATATAATTGTACATTCGTGAGACGAGGCGAATATATTCTAAATATATGACTTTTCGTTTGTTTCAGTTTGTGAGTCGCGAAATCTGGATGCAACTGAGTCTTATAGCTACGATTTAACATCGCCTCGGTATCCTCTCTCTTATCCAAAGTAAGTTAGATGCATTTGCATTCATTAAATGCATGTGGTGGGTAAATGACCAGATAGTGGCCACATGAATACGTGCCAATGCCTAGTTGCAGGTACAGCAACGTGCAGCAAACTTGGACAAAGTACTTTTTGTCCCAGTCCACCCAGCTTTGAAAGGGTACCTCGTGGGAAAGCCACATTATCTTGGTGCGCCTAGTGGCTGTAAGAGATGTATGCTCCCCAGGGAGATGAGATTGACAATACAATGTACCGTTTGAGACTGACATCCACTGATAGAGGGAAAAACAAAGCGCCTTTGAGCAGCTGAGCTGATCTGGATATTGGCGCTATATAAATATAATAATTAGATAAATAAATAAATAGATAAGTACAGACAGACAGACATTTTTGTGTCTAGTGTATAATACAATTAGCACAATATATCTTAATGTAATGCCCAGGATGAACAGTAATGATTTTGGAAACACACACACACACACACACACACACACACACACACACACACACACACACACACACACACACACACACACACACACACACACACACACACACACACACACATACATACATACATACATACATACATAAAGACAACGTTTCGAAAGTACTTCATTTTTGCGCCCCGGATGAACAGTAATGATTGTGGAACACCTACACACACACACACACACCTGAAGCAGCAGATACAGGCCGTTGGCCAAACTTATTTCAACTTCATCTTTTCATATACAAAAATTATACTTAAGAACTCCCCTTTTTCAGCAATGCCGACTGTACATGGTTCATATCAACCTATTCCTATGGCCATGTCATCACTTTGGAAGTGGTGGTGTCTGATATTGAATATTCTGCTGGCTGTTGGAAAGACTACGTTGAGGTATTAGATGGTACGTAAAGGTTGTCAGGTCATAGCAAATATAACTAATCGTCTTTTTATTCAATTGATCTTTTCAGAATAGCTTTTATTCATTTCAGTTGTCTGTGAACAGTACTTGTACAAATACAACTCTGTTCAATGTTTTTGTTCAGTGAAGAGGGTGCTTAGGAAGGCATGGTTCAATTTCCAATATGGTTTCAATGACAGAATTATTTCCTTTAATGGCAAATAAACAATGTCCACAAAATGTCTCCGTATGATAATATCTCTTCCTGAATCTTCAATGAGAGGAGTAGCAATGGGTTATCCAAGCGGTAAAGTAGTCCGCCGCCACAATTGCCAACTTTATGTGCGTACTGCGTGGACCAATTTCTGCTGCTCCCATAATGCCGGAAAAAGACATTATGGAAGAAAGGAGTAAAACTCAAACATTGCATTCTGAAATGAATTTTGCAATTATTCTGTTATGTCATTGTTCAGAAGTCTGGATATTAGAAATATCTAACTAAAATACAAACTAACAATGTCATGAACCTTTAAGTCACAAGAATATACTATTTCCTCGGCAGTCCCAGAACGTTTTCTGGCACCAACTTTGTATTGACCTTCACAATTTGGATTTGACTCGTGGTTACAATAGCAATCTGTAATATAATACAAACGACATTATCAATATCTAAATTATTACAGGCTACGTTTGAAAACTTGCGCATTCTTTGGATGATAATAGGAATACTTTGTTGTGAGACCTTTCTCCTGCTATACATGATTCAATACTTTAAGCTACGAACTCACAGATATATCGAGCTGAGCTGGGGTCTCGACCATTTGCTGTGTATTTTCATCGAAATGTGTAGTACAAACTAAGGTCGAAAGCAACTAAACATTTTTGTTTTCGTTATGACCTTAGTCTACTGTGTATGAAGAAGTTGGAACCATTTGTTTTATCATATGCAGTTCCGAAAATGTTTGGAATGACAACTATGAGTAGTTGGTATGTGTATTTTAGGGCAGTACACATCTTCCCCATCCCTTGGACGATGGTGCGGAATTCTTACCCCAACAAAGACAAGTTCTGACAGATCGATGACAGTCCTCTTTCATACTGACCATTCTCACACGGGAGGCGGTTTCAAGATAACATATTACTCAAAGCAAAAGAACCAAGAGGGTAAGCTACATAGATTGCTACATATTCGGTAAAATGGAAATAACATTGCTTTTGAAATGTGACACACTTCCCAAAAGACAAAGCAGTTGTGAACGTTATACAGTCATCATGACATAAAGAAGTTCTAAACGTGCAATTGTCACCATGGTAATAAATGTACTTCTTAATATTATATTGTCCAAAATGATAGTATTAGAAAGTATTGCTAAGAATATAATTGTTACCATTATACAAAGTAGTTCTAAAAGTTACATTGTTACAGTGTTGAATTGTTACAGTGATGCAGAGTAGTTTTGGACGTTTTATTGTTACCAGGGTACAATGTAGTTTTGAACGTGTATTGTTACCACCATACAAAGTAGTTCTAAACGTAACAGTGTTACCATGATACCAAGAAGTTATAAAGGTAACAGCGCTACCATGATACAAAGTAGTTCCAAACGCAACAGCGTTACCGTGATCCAAAGAAGTTCTAACCGTAACAGTGTTTAGTGGGTTTTTTTAAAAAGAAATTATTATTCATTCAAAATCAGTACATAGAATATACAAAGTACATGATGCAACAGATCTTGTACACAATAAAACAGAAATTCATATGGGTTGGCATTACACATATTGGAATCTTCATTAGTAAGCTGGGAATGTGTGCAATAGAGATGACCATTTTCTGTCAAATTGTAATATGTTTTGATTTTTATTGGCAATAAACTTTTCTGTCTTGAAAATATGACTCAATATTTTTACAAATGTATCCAGTGAAAACTTTTTGTTTTTAATACTTAATACATGGATGTATTTTTTACTGGCAAGAAGTATGTGGTTCATAAGGTCGTTATTATTTCCGCCAATTAAAACTGTATATTTTGTCAGGGTAAAATTTTCTGATGATTTGTCTTCAATATATTCTTTCAGTTTCAACCAGAACGTTTTCACACATTCCCATTCCCAATAAACATGTATCAACAATTCTGACATTAAATTACAGCATGAGCAAAGTTCATCATCTACTAATTTCTTTCTCAATAATTCTGTTTTTGTATCAACAATATTGTGGATAAATTTAAACTGGATGTCAATCAATTTAGTATCTTTTGTACATCTTCTATATTTTTTGAAAATATGTTTCCATGGAATTGCAATATCAAAGATATTTTGCCATTTTTCACATGTCGAAGTAGGTTTTCAGTACTTATAAGTTTATCATAGAAGTATCCGGATCTCTTTGTTGCTGAAAGTAAACCTATGAGTGATGTGTTAAGATAATGATTATGAACAATCAATAAATTATTTCTTATAGTACCTTTCCATTTTTGGGGTTTATTTGAAAGAACCTAATAATAATCAAGAATTGTGCCTTTAATTTTGTAAGGTTTCTTAAGTTTACTAAACGACAAAATACCTTGATCATTACACAAGTCTCTTATAGAGTGGATACCTTTGAGATGCCAATGTCTCAATTACTATTTTGGAATTGATGATTGAACCAAAGGGCTTCGGAAAAGATTTGATCAATATCTGTAAAATAAGTTTTATGTGTTATATAAAATATTCCCCAAGGAGCCAATACATCTTTCCAATTGGGATTCATAATATTGACATAAGTTTCAATGTGGGCAGAAAAATATCTTTGAATGGAAAAATACTAGGGCTAGAACTGCTTTTATTTTGAAGATATTTATGTAAAACCGACAGTTTTAAAGAGTTTATTAACACCTCTACATAACCATTCTGAGTCCCCCTTCTTCATATTGTCTAATAAGTGTCGTTAGCTTTATCTTATGCCGCTTATCATTCCAGATGAATTTATAAAATATACTGTTTAGTTTGTCAATGAATTCCTTTGGAGGATTTGGGAGTGAAGTGAATATATGCACCAATGATGAAAGTGCCAAAATTTCAATAACAGTTATTTTCCCTATTAATGTCAACTTTATTTTCCTTCAATTCCTTAGAGTTCTGTTAATAATTTCTAGTCTTTTTCTTGTATTAATTACCCAAAGTTTATTTAAATTTGGATTAAGCCTTATTCCTAGAATATCAAAATCCCCATTATGCCAATCAAGCTTAAGATCCTGGCATAAAATCATACTATTACCTGCCATTGAACCTATCCACACTGCTTTAGTTTTATCTATATTTATTCTTAAACCAGACATTTTGTAGAAATTACTGAGTGTGTCTATTGCTGCCCTTAAACTTTCTTCACGCCCATCAAGAAATAAGTCAGTATCCTCTGCATACTGTCCAATTTTATGTTCAACATTATTCAATGTATTTCCTTTTATTGCACTGTTGTTACGGATCATTATTCCTAAAATTTCAGCCACTAAGAGGAATAAATAGGGAGAGACTGGGTCCCCTTGTCTACAGCCCCTTTCATTGTTAAACAATTGTGATAAATTACCATTCTGTATAACACATAATGTAGCATTATTGATTAATATTTTTATCCATTTTTCCATATTGGGTCCAAAGCCAAACTTTGCAATTGTTAAAATTATAAATTCTTTAGAGACAGTGTCAAAAGCTTTTTCAAAGTCAGTAAGTAACAAGACATGATGTCGTATAATAATCTAATGTTCTCACTGATACATATTCCAGGTATAAAGGGGCGGTGGGGTAACCTAGTGGTTAAAACGCTGGCTCGTCACACCGAAGACGCGGGTTCGAATCCCCACATGGGTACAATTTGTGAAGCCCATTTCTGGTGTCCCCCACCGTGATGTTGCTGAAATATTGCTAAAAGCGGCGTAAAACCAAACTCAGTCAGTCAGTCAGTCAGTCCGGGTATTAAACATGTTTGAGTTTCATGAATAAGTGTATTCAAAGGGGTTTTTTTTAATTCTATTGGCTGTACATGTGCTGAGTATTTTATACATAGAATTCAGTAGGGAAATTGGGCGCCAGTGTTTTAAAATATTTCGGTTTGTAGATATATATCAGAAACATTCAGGCAAAATATCTTAAGTCCAACAATAAACAGGGGCGTCATCATATGTATTCTAGAATGTAACAATGTTACCATGATACAAAATAGTTCACGGCGATGAATTTGTGCTTGCATGTAGTGAATACCCATTACCTGAATACTTGTTTAAACTTGCTTCAGAAAAGGGACCGGTCAAGTTCAATACTGCTGCACTTTTCGGAGGATTGGCTGGAGGTGGGCTCTTGCTTGCTATCCTTATCCTTTGTGCAAGGTCATATAAGAAACGAAAGTTAACAGAAATGTCTCGAGCAGATGTAAGGACAAGGCCTGCTTATTTGACCACACCAATCGGGCAACTGTCTACCCCAACCCCGGAATATACGGTAGGGTACAGTCAGCAACAGGTTTCAATCCAGCCAATGAACACAGGGGAATACTACAACACCGCTGTGTTTGACCCACCGCCTTCCTACGATGATGTTATAAAGAATAACACCGACTTCCAGGTACCGCCCCTTGACAGTACTGTTCCTGACAACTCCACAACGAACAGTAATACAGCAGACAGCCAGGCCGATGACACGCGGTTGTAGCAACTGTACTTGCATCAGAAAGGCTATGCAATGTTTTTATTTGATAAAAGTTCAACATTTACTTTAGTGGAATATAAGCACTGGAGAGTATTGATCAACGACAGCAGTCAAGTGACTGTGTAGTGAACGTTGTATTGCCGACTGTGTCAATCCTGACAGAGGAGGATGTGTCGGACATACACACTTGACGTTACATCATCCAACAACGTGAATTGTATAATTAGGTGCAAGTGTGTTTGGATGATGTTCCCGATGTTGGTTAATTGGACAGGCGGTTGTTGCAGTCCTGATCGCATCAGAAGGATACGGATGATGAGTGTGATTTTATGCCGGTTTTGGTAAAATTCCTGCAATACCACGTCGGGGAACACCAGGAATGGGCTTCAAACCAGAAGGATTCGGGATACACTTAGTCAGAAGTATACGTACATGTAATGAAGATTAGGAATAAAATCCCATTGAACATGTTTCTGCGAACAGTCTGGTTTGCTAAAGAATGCACCGGAAAAAATTCTCTCTCCAAAGTGGGCATATATGATTTCCAAAAGAACACTTTGACTGGTTTTGGAATGTTGCTTTTCCTGGAAGTGATGAAAGAATTGAATAATCAGTTGCTCGGTGATGTTTCTTGTTCATTATATAATACTTGTGTGTGTAATTGTTAAAATATATTGACAACTGCGCAATATCACTAACTTCGTCATGAGGTACTTGCCTCTTCCGTTATAACAGATACCGTCAGTGCTACGTACAAACGGATAATGTTATTAGCATAAAGTGAAAATGTATCCTAGTTTACAGATTGGTTCCAATTTAAATTAGTCCCTTGAATACTTGTAATACTTCAGTGTACAGTTTAATAACCATCTAATACAAACAATCATCCAACATTTGTCAGAGGAACATCGACTTGCAGATGTCATATATTTTATCTGAAGATGGTGTGTAATAATGGGTTGTAAAAGAGAATAAACTAGTACATACAAAACGTCATTCTACTAGTTCGTATATTGGCATTCTACACGGTTTGTATGTCTGAAAGGTGAAGTATCACACAGTAATGCTTGTAGTATTATTACATCTGTTAGATAAGTGTTAATGGCTCAACACATACCCAAGATGTTTCATGACCAAACACATGCGCAATAAGTTTCATGACCAAACACATACCCAAGAAGAGTTCATGGCCCAACAAATACCCATGAAGTGTCCATGACCCAGCACCGATCAGAAGTGTTAATGACTAAACACAGGCCCAGAACTGTTCATGACCCAACGAGCACAAACGAACTGTTCATGGCCCTACACATAACAGATGTGTTCATAATCCTACACGCACTAATAGTGTTCATGACCCAACAGATACCCAGAAGTGGTCATGGCCCTATACATCCGAGAAGTGCTCATGACCTCACAGGTACCCAAGAAGTGTTCATGACTCAACACGTTAGTGGGTGAGTGAGTTCAGTTTTACGCCACACACTATTCAAACTATATGACGGCGGTCTGCATATAATAGATTCTGGACCAGACAAGCCGGTGATCAACAGCATGAGGATCGTTCTGCGCTATCGGGATACGACAACATCTAACCAACTCAGCTGGCCTGACCACTCGATCCCTCTTACGACAAGCATGGATGGCTAAAGAGCAATTCTCTAGTGGAAAAGTCCTTTTGGTGGAAAAGACAATATACCTGTGAAAATTATATGATTCAACTACTGAATTTAGTAAAGAACCATGTTTTGCGATAAAGGGTGGAGATGTAATGCCCTACGGGTGTCCCCGTAATCCATACAGTTGTCATAGAAAAGTAAATATGAATAGCCTGACGCAGCACAGCAGAACTTCTGCCACGCCACGTAAACCAAAAAGACAAATCAGTGATAGATGAGCCAAAATTCAGCACATGGTATCAATCTATTTCTCATCAATCGATACATACATAGAATTCAAATGTGATCACATAACGAATTATATTTTAAACATGTATGTGTACCTACCATTGTCAACCATCCACACACAGAAATAAAGCAGTGGTTCTTATCATGGTATAAAGGTATTAAGGAATTCTCCATGAACCTATTTCCATGAATTAAATAATACATTTCATAAAATTATAATAATCGCATGCATATACTCACGGAATCTACATTATGAAGATTAAAGGTTAATTTTAAGCACTTTATCCATTATTTGCTGAGATTAACGAAGAAAGGAGAGACCAGTATCAACACCGAAATAACTACCTGTTGACCCTGTGCATTACATGAAGGGGCATAACTCTGCTGCACGTATCTGCAGGTAACATAGTACAGAAGGATAAAAAAGGTTGACGTCACCCTTCAAACACACGATGCTCGGCAAGGTCGCAGCATGAAATAAAATCTAGAATGTACTGTGTTATGGGTATTAGCCATATAATATATTCAATTTGCTTGCTATTTTTTCTAAATTTATACTTTACCTTGCTTTAAGCGGCATCTCAATATTTTCATTTTCAACATTTAAAGGTTGAAGGAGCAAATACAAAATGTTGTATGGTTGGTTACTACTACTATTACTACTGCTGCTGCTACTGCTACTACTACGACTTAAATTAATTTCTTTGAGAGGCATTTTAGAAGTTGTGAAGATGAAGGAAAACTGATTTCTATGGATAGTCAACTTCTTTATTGTGAAGGTATTTGTCGGTATGGGTGGGTTTCCTGTAGACAGTAGTGGAGAGCTTGCTGTCTTCTTTCTTTACTAGGACGTCGAGGAAAGGGAGCTTGTTGTCAGATTCTTCTTCCATTGTGAACTGCATACGGGGATGTTGAGAATTCAGGTGGTTGAGGAGGTGTTCAGGGTTGTCGTTGGGGTTGAGAACATACCGACCAATACCTTCACTTTACCTCCAACCACCCGCTACAGGTTAAGAAAGGCATCATATCCACTCTCACCCGGAGAGCTAAGAACATCTGCTCCACAACGGAAGCGGAACTTAACCACATCCGCCATGTCTTCGTCCATTATAACCAGTACCTCCAGAAACTAGTCAACAATATCATCACAACCACCCTCAACCTAAGAGATAAACCACCCCGCCGGCAATCAGCACCCTTTGTAATAAGTATCCCGTATGTCCCAGCAGTCAGCCACCAAATAAGACGACTCCTTCAGCACCAAGCAAGCATAGACGTCCTGTTCCAAAAAGGCAAATCCATCCAGAACCTCCTCCAAGCCACAGGCAAACCACCGTCAACAACAAAAGATGACCCCTCGGGAGTAGTCTACCAGATTCGTTGTCAATGTGGAGACTTCTATATTGGTGAAACATCCCGCCCGCTTCCACTACGAATCAAGGAACATAAAGCCTCAGTCCAGAAAAACGACTCCAAATCCGCCATAGCTGACCACACCCAAGCCAACCCTGACCATGTCATCCTATGGAACAACATCGATATCCTAGAAATCAACAGACAAGACTACAAAATTAGGAAACTCCTTGAAGGCATAAACATCCAACGCCACAACCCCACCATGAATCGAGATCAAGGTTATTTCATCTCGTCAGCCTATCACCACCTAATCAAACACCACCACCAGTAATCCTCCCCTTCCCTTCTTTGTCCATCGGGCTTCCATGCTCCCTCCTTTGTGCTTGTAATCACAACTATTGTACCTCAACTCATCAATTGTATAAACTTTATATTCTAATCACAACCAATCACTCTGTACATCAACCTCCTATGCTGTAATCACTTATCAAATACCCAATGTACATTAACCTTTTTAATTGTATACTCACTATACAGCTATATATATATTCTCCTTACCTCAGTTGTTGTATCACTTGCTTGATAACGGTGTTAGTACCTACACCGAAACGTCGACTTAAATTAATACTGACACTACTACTACTACCACTACTACTACTAATACTATTACTACCACCACTAAACATATCGCTGCTACTACTGCTGCTGGTACTATTGCTCGTACTAGTACTGCTACTATTACTACCACAACTACTACTATTAAACATATCGCTGCTACTGCTGCTGCTGCTGATAATGGTACTATTGCTAGTACTACAATAACTACAACGACCCCATTGTACTGACACTCCGAGAAGCTACTGCAGCACGATTACAACAAATACAGTAGCTCACGATATGAGAGTGGAATGACTTGGAGATCATCAACCAGGACATATACTTAGTAAGAGCAGCATATAGGTATACATAATTGACAAAACAGTTTCTCCACATTACATATTTATGTAGACATCGATACGATCAACGGGTTTAATGTTTCTTTGGTATTTCGACATTTATCTCAAAGAATTCAATGTTAATTGCTATCTTTCACGAATCAATACACTGAGTACTTGCTATCTCTGTCCTTGAGCGAGGTCATGTGCTATGGAGACTCTTATCCTCTGAGACAGTTTGCAGTATGATTATCGTATGTTCCATCAAGTACCTTCCGTTTAGTGGGGAAGCTGTTAAACACCATCGCCTGTCGCGATCATGGAATAAGTGGAAGACTGTGCGCTTAGTTCTATGATCAAACCAAGACCAGACACATACTGGGAATGCTGAAAAGACTTAACAGACAATTTTGAAAGTTAGCAATTAATTTTGGAAAAGAGAACAAAGTATATGTACAGCTGACAATTCACATGTCCATAAGAACACATGGCAGCAAACTTGTAAATTCTAAGTATACAAACACATCATGTCCATAAGGACACAAGGCGGCAAACTTGTACATTCTAAATGCACAAACACATCACATACATAAGAATACAAGGCAGCAAACTTGTAAATTCTAATGCACAAGCACATCATGTCCATAAGAACACATGGCAGCAAACTTGTAACTTCTAATGTGCAATCACATCATGTCAATAAGAACACAAGGCAGCAAGCTTGTAAATTCAAATGGACAAACACATCATGTTCATAAGAACACATGGTAGCAAACTTGTAACTTCTAAATGCACAAACACATTCAGTACATAAGAACACATAGCAGCAAACTTGTCAATTTTAAATGCACAAGCACATCATGTACATAAGAACACATGGCACCAAACTTGTAAATTCTAAATGCACAAACACATCAAGTACATAAGAACACATGGCACCAAACTGGTAACTTCTATTGTGCAATCACATCATGTCCATACGAACACAAGGCAGCAAGCTTGTAAATTCAAATGGACAAACACATCATGTTCATAAGAACACATGGTAGCAAACTCGTAAATTCTAAATGCACAAACACATCATGTACATGAGAACACATGGTAGCAAACTTGTAACTTCTAAATGCACAAACACATTAAGTACATAAGAACACATGGCAGCAAACTTGTAACTTCTAAATGCACAAGCACATCATGTACATAAGAACACATGGCACCAAACTTGTAACTTCTAAATGCACAAACACATCAAGTACATAAGAACACATGGCACCAAGTTGTAAATTCTCAATGCACAAACACATCATGTCCATAAGAACACATGGCAGCAAACTTGTAACTTCTAATGTGCAATCACATCATGTCCATAAGAACACAAGGCAGCAAGCTTGTAAATTCAAATGGACAAACACATCATGTTCATAAGAACACATGGTAGCAAACTCGTTAATTTTAAATGCACAAACACATCATGAACATAAGAACACATGGTAGCAAACTTGTAACTTCTAAATGCACAAACACATTAAGTACATAAGAACACATGGCACCAAACTTGTAACTTCTAAATGAACAAAAACACATCATGTACATAAGAACACATGGTGGCAAACTTGTAAATTCTAATGTACAATCACATCATGTCCATAAGAACACATGGCAGCAAACTTGTAAACTCTAAATGCTCAAACACATCATGTCCATGCAGCTTGGCAGCTTGGTCTTCTATTGTTTTTGAAAGTAGCTCACAGCCAAACCACCACAGTTTTGTGTAAAGTCCATATTTCGACAAA